AAATCATAATCCAACAATTTATCAAAAAAAAAAACTGAATTGAAAAATTAATAAAATTACTATATTAGTCTATGTCTTGAACCAAATAAGAAAAGAAGAAGATCTAGGGGGATTGTCTGTCTATCAATGTCGCTGAATCGAGGGAGAAAATAAAAAGGAGAGAGAGAGGATTGTCTTTATGTCGCTGAATCGAGGGAAAAAAGAAGAAGAGGGTCTATGTCGCTGAACCAAGGGAGAAAAGAAGAAGGAGGGGATTGTGAACGCTGGCTAGTTGGAGGAGAAAAAGTGAGAAGAGACCGTGGGATTGCGAAGGTGACTATTGAATTTGGGATTAGGGTTTAAAAAATAATTTTAGATTTATAATTAAATTAGATAATTATGGAGAAGACAAAATATAATTTATAATTTTAATTTTAATTTTAAAATTTAATATATCTATGTCGCAATTACTAAAGCCTTTATCTTAAGAGGATAGATGTCAAATTCTCATTGTTGAGAAATTTTAGAGTTTCTAAATTCTCAACGTATCACGGTGAACATGATTATGGAAAAATCTAATTTCAAGATGTATTTATTTTCACTAGCATTGATGAGAACATCTTTCTTTTAATTCATGAAATTACAACTATGATATTTCCAGACATGGGAACTTTTTAACATAGATTCTTTGACCACATCATATTTCATTAAAAAAATTTTGTGGAAACCAAAAAAAATAAAAAATAAAAGAAAAAGTGGATGAATCATTTATCCATGCACTTCATTCAATCGATAAGGAAAAAAAAAATATTAGTGCTCCACAATTATTTGTGATTCTAAACTTACCAACTTAGGGGCTAGGAACATTAATATATGGTTACAAGAACTAATTAATTGCCCACAAAATAACCAATCTCACCTAGCTGGAATTGAAAGCCAATACGATGGATAACCTGTTTAGAGATAAAGATAGTATAACCAATAAAAGAAAGTTTGATGAGGTGGCGGCATGAAACCCGAGAAAGGAACATGTTATGAGGATCCAACGAAACTTATGAAAGGCCAAAGTGTTGAATTTTTGACATGCTCCTAAACAATGGCCAAATCAAAATTATGAAAGGCCAAAGTGTTGAATTTAAATGCCTGATCCTTAAAGCGGAAGCGTACCTGTAGATGAAGCCATATACAAATCTTGGGTGATTAAAGGTTTGGTCTTCCAAGATCAGGGTTCCGGCTTCCTTTCTGTCATCGACGGGTGAGGAGCAGAAACTGCAGGGAGAATCAGATCTCTTTTACGGCGCACTGATCCTAGGGACCTAACCCTAGCCTATTTATAATAGGGCAAACATAATTGTAATTACAATTTTGCCCTTAATTAATATCATTAATTTGTCACGTCACCAAAATAATAATATTATACGGGTAGCTGCACTTTCATTCCATAACAATCAAACCTATCAGTCAATAATTAATTATATTAATTAGACTACTTAAATAATATGACTGGATAAAATATTGACTTTAACAATATATTCCATACACATATTTGATCCCAAATCCAACAATCTCCCACTGGATCTAGTATGTGTCTGAATGAATATATTATTCCTTATGCGCTCAGTTTTCAGTCATTATAAAACAAGCCTTGCATCAATCTGGTCCATCAATCACAACAATATAGGACTAAAGAAGCATTTGCCGTATCAACAGCTAAACTTACAGTAATCACGGATATCAGTGTAATCAAATGACATAGATAAATCATGGAACGTGCAGAGAGAAAATTACATAAGTGTGATCTGAATATGTCAATTTTCTACTGGTCCAAACTGAATGAGATCGTAAATTACTTAATCATAATGTCCAAAACATCATAACCGAAATATGATCAAAATAGTATAAAACAAATATCAAGTGAATGACAAAAGAATATAAATGCATACTCTTACTTCAGCGAAGCTTCCTCAAATTGCAACACACCCATATAAGCAGTATGCTCATGGAAGACCTTAGGTGTTACACCTTTAGTTAGGGGGTCTGCTAACATGGATTTTGTCCCTAAGTGCTCGATAGAAATCTGATGATCTTTCACTCTCTCCCTCACAACTAGGAACTTAATGTCAATATGCTTTGACCTGGACGAGCTCCTATTGTTATTGGAGTATTCAACGGCTGAATTGTTGTCACAGAAAATCTTGATGGGTTTTTCAACCATCGGAATGATTCACAGCCCAGCAACAAAATTCTTTAGCCAAATCGCTTGCTGTGATGCCTCAAAACATGCCATGAACTCAGTTTCCATCATGGAACTGGTAACGAGTGTCTGTTTGGCACTGCGAGCAATGGCCCCACCAGCCAACATTTAAACATAGCTTGATGTAGATTTCCTACTATCTTGGCATCCTGCAAAGTCGGAGTCAGAGTATCCAACGATCTCCAATTGGTCTGACCTCCTATATGTGAGCATATGATTACTAGTTCTCTTCAGATATCTCATCACCCTCTTGGCTGCCTTCCAGTGATCCAATCCAGGATTACTAAGGTATCTGCCTAACACACCAACTATGTACGCAATATCTAGACGCGTCCATACTTGTGCATACATGAGGCTCCCAACTGCCAAGGCATAGAGGATCTTTTTCATCTCCTCAATTTCCAGATTTACTTTAGGGCATTGGCTGAGACTTAATTTCTCTCCTTTAGCTATAGGGGTATCTTCCGACTTGCATTTCTGCATGCTGAATCGCTCGAGTATTTTATCAATATAGCTCTTTTGAGATAATCCAAGAATACACCGAGATCTATCACAATATATTTGGATCCCTAATACAAAAGATGCTTCACCAAGATCTTTCATTTCAAAGTTACTCGAGAGAAATTTCGTAGTTTCGTGCAACATGCTCACATTATTTGTGGCAAGCAAAATGTCATCCACATACAAAAACAAGAAAATAAATTTGCTCCCACTGAACTTGTGATAAACACAATCATCAACCACATTCATCTCAAAACCATATGAGAGAATCACTTGATGAAATTTCTGATACCACTGCCGAGACGCTTGTTTGAGCCCACGGATGGATTTTCTTAATTTACAAACCATTCGCTTTGGGTCACCGACCTCAAAAGTTTCTGGTTGTACCATACAGATCGTTTCATCAATGTCACCATTTAGAAACGCCGTCTTAACATCCATTTGATGGAGCTCTAAATCAAAGTATGCCACAAGAGCCATGATTGTCCTAAAAGAGTCCTTCGAAGAAACCGGAGAGAAAGTCTCTTTATAGTCAATCCCCTTTTTCTGAGTATAGCCTTTAGCTACAAGACGTGTCTTATACCTCTCTACATTACCATTTGCATCCCGTTTGGTTTTAAAAATCCATTTGCAACCTACGGGTTTTGCACCTTCTGGCAATGGGACAAGTTCCCAAACTTTATTGTCTTGCATTGACTTGTTCTTATCACGTATCGCATAGATCCATTTATCTGAATAATGACCCTTCATGGCAAGATAAATATTAATTGGATCATCCTCAGTCATGCCATCATTGTCCTCACTTTCTTGAAGAAATATCACATAATCATCTGAAATGGCATTTCTTCGTTCTCTAGTGGATCTACGCAATTGCGTTGGCTCTTGAACTGTATGTTCTTGAGTTTTTTGAGTTTGTTCCATAGGCATAGGTTCCTGTTCTATACGAACGGGTTCCTCAGTCGCACTTTGAAACTCTATGGGAGCTGGAATGACTGCTAACTCATGAGGTATTTGATCAATCACATTAGTGATTTCTTGATCCTCAAAAGTAAAGTCTAAAACTGTATTTCTCCCCCTAAACTCAATATCCTCAGAGAACTTGGCAGTAGCCGTCTCAAAATAGTTCTTGATGTGGGATCATAAAATTTATACCCCCTTGACCGTTCCGAGTAGCCAATAAAATAACTGCTCACTGTACGAGGTGCTAGCTTTGGTTCATTTGGCCTATAGGCCTTCACCTCAGCTGGACAACCCCACACCCTAAGATGATTTAAGTTAGGCTTGCACCCAATCTAGAGTTCATAGGGTGTTTTGGCAGTCGCCTTAGTTGGCACTCTATTAAGGATGTAGACTGTTGTCTTTAATGCTTCTCCCCATAATGATGGTGGCAAAGTAGATTGACTAATCATACTTCGAACCATATCCTTCAATGTACGGTTTCGTCTCTCAGCAATGCCGTTCATGCTAGGTGAACCGGGCATGGTGTATTGAGGGACGATTCCACACTCCTTAAGGAAGACAGCAAAAGGACCTGCACGTTGTTCACCCGAGCCATCATTTCTGCCGTAATATTCTGCTCCACGGTTGGATCTGACAGTCTTAATGCGTTTGCTTAGTTGATTTTCAACTTCAGCCTTTAATGCTTTGAACATGTCCAGTGCCTTAGATTTTTCTTTCATAAGGTACAGATGACCATATCGAGAATAATCGTCTATGAATGACACAAAATATTGTTGACCGTTCCATGAAAGAGTGGGGAAAGACCCACAAATGTCTGTATGTATCAATTTTAAGACATCCGTAGCTCGATAAGCACCTATCCTTTTAACCTTGGTTTGTTTACCCTTAATGCAATCGACACAAACGTCAAAGTCTGAAAAATTTATGGAATCAAGGATTCCATCCTTAATGAGTCTTTCAACTCTATTTCTTGAAATATGACCTAAACGTTTGTGCCGTAATAAACTAGAGTCATGCAATTTTCGCTTAGTACCTTTTGATACCGTATTAAGTGCCTCATTATAGGAAACCAATATATCGAGCATATATAAATTGTCATTCACCATAAAAGTACCAAAACCAACCAAACATGAACTAAAAGACAACTCAACTTTATTGTTTCCAAAAGAATAATGATAACCGAATTTGTCCAAATAAGAAACATAAACCAAATTCCGTCTAAATGACAGTATAATAAAAGTGTCTTGCAATTCAAGAAAATATCCAGTACTCAATAACAACTTAAAATTGCCCACGGCTTCCACCTCTACTGAATCCCCATTTCCAAAGTAAATGCATCTTTCAGCATCAGTTGTTTCGGTAGCTCAGGCAACCCTGCATTGAAACACCGATGTTAGTAGTTGATCCAGAGTCTAACCACCAAGTATTTCGAGGTACTGAAGCTAAATTAACCTCAGAACAAACCAAAGTAAGAAACGTACCCTTCTTCACGAGCCAATCGTGAAACTTAGTACAATTCTTCTTCTCATGTCCAGGTTTCTTGCAAAAGAAGCAAGTCTTTTCAGGACGAGCCCGAGGAGCTGGAGCTGGAACATGAGCCTTAGCTGTCTCAACCTTAACGGCCTTATATTTTCTCTTCTTGCCGCCTGCATCCTTTGAGGTATCAACCACATGTACCTCTTCAGTCTTATTAGGCTTCATCCTTTCTTCTTCCTCAACACAGTGAGATATGAGCTCATTAAGAGTCCACTTCTCCTTTTGACAGTTATAACTGACTTTAAATTGATCGTATTGAGTAGGAAATGAGAGCAAAACCAATAGGACTAACATGTCCTCTGAAAGGTCTAACTTAAGTGCTCTCAACTGAGAAGCAGTATTAGACATATTCAGGTTGTATTCCCTTATATTTCCTTTGCCGTTATACCTCATGGTAATGAGACTCTTCAGAAGAGTACTCATTTCCGCCTTATCGCTTTTGGTAAAGCGTTTCTCAATTTCGACAAGGAAATCACTAGAAGTAATGATATCATCAGATATCGTGGCCCTAAAGATTTCTAGAATGCTTTTCTTTATGATCATTAGACTAAGGCAATTAGACCTATCCCACTTCTCAAACAACTGTTTTTCATCTGCAGTGCTTTCTTGCGTAGGAGAAGGGGGTTGGTCTATCCTTAATGCCAAGTCTAGATCCATACAGCCCAAATGAATCAATATTGATTCTTTCCAGTGCTGATAGTTGTCCTCAGACAGTATTGAGACTGAATAGTTAGAAAATACCACAACATTCGATCCTGAAGATAACAAGGAATAAATATACACATAAGTACTCAAGTAGCATAATGAAACTCAAGATAAAATAATGCAATCCCATCTCAAGACACTAAACGCAACATTAATGTTTAATCTTTGGATCAATGTCATTAACTGCAAGCAGTCATCTTGTTGCAAAAATCATATACGGATAATAAGGTAATGTCAAACAGTAATCAATCTTTGGACTGATTTACTATTCACATAAGTTGAATCTATATAATTGTCCCATACATATTATCGAAGATTTATTTTATTCTGTCAATTATCGACTGCCTTTTGGCCGAAGAATAATCACATGAATTAAAATACACATGTAAACACTTACGTTATCAAGAAAAAAATTTCATATAAGAGAGGTTACTTTGCCAACTTCAAATACTAGATTTTCACCGTCAAAACGCAGCAAGCATTATCTATGAGTTTCTAATTCTAAAAATGAAAATATTTGCAATATAAGCAAAATCAATTTCTGAAGATGCATACATCAATTTCATAAATAATATATTCCAAAATATTCGTGATAAATTTATAAACAAATAAACATGAATTCATGACATGTATTTAATACATGATAAATTTATAAACAAATAAACATGAATTCATGACATGTATTTAATACATATATATATCAATAAATAAATGAATGAATGAATGTCCACGCGTATGTGTATTTGATTGTACGTACACTAACAGATACAAAACACATGTATGTACGTAGACCGAGGCATACTCTATAGATTCATTACAATATATATATACATACATGCATTCAATATATTTTATTCCACAAAATAAAAATAAATAAATAAACTAGCTGTCTAATCAAGATTTCAAAACCTTCAACTCATACATGGATTCAAAAAAAAAATCACTCATTTATATGAATCCCAATACAACTATTGATTACATAAATGATAATAATATTAATAACGAAACAATATTATCCCAAAAATGGCATGGATTTATTCTGATTTGCTAGACTGATGTTCCGTGTTCAAACATAAAATATTTTCCATCGCTCAAGATTAAAATTTGGTTCGGGTGAAAGGAATTTAGATTAATCGACAAAGGATCAAATTGAATTCCTAAGATTTTGCAAAGAATTGCAACAACGAAATTTTCAATATATGATCCCGATTTAATGCCAATTAATTCAAGAAACATCTAAAATTCAACTTGGTTCTGATACCAATTGTTGAATTTAAATGTCCGATCCTTAAAACGGAAGCGTACCTGTAGATGAAGCCATATACAAATCTTGGGTGATTAAAGGTTTGGTCTTCCAAGATCAAGGTGCCGGCTTCCTTTATGTCCTTGACGGGTGAGGAGCAGAAACTGCAGGGAGAATCAGATCTCTTTTACGGCGTGCTGATCCTAGGGACCTAACCCTAGCCTATTTGTAATAGGGCAAACATAATTTTAATTACAATTATGCCCTTAATTAATATTATTAATTTGTCACGTCACTAAAATAATAATATTATACGGGTAGCTACACTTTCGTTCCATAACAATCAAACCTATCAGTCAATAATTAATTATATTAATTAGACCACTTAAATAATATGACTGGATAAAATAATGACTTTAACGATATATTCCATATACATATTTGATCCCAAATCCAACACGAAGGGCGGCTACAAAAAAAGAGGTTAAAGGTTGGCTCTATTGAAAATGGCTTAAGTCATTCACAAACGCAACACATCGTGCTCACTTCAACGAAGAGATAAAAAAAGAAATTAAGGATGATCTTCTAAAGTATGTCACCAAAATAGTAGAACACCAACAAACCTTTTCACTCTTTTCCATAACCACTACATTAATTAAATTTACTAAACAAGTAGAACAAGAATATGAAAGCAGCAAATATAGTGGCCACTCATGTCTAAAGATTATTAAATCCAAATTACTTTGAAGAAGTATTTCTTTGGAAAAAAAAGTTTAAAACACCCATCAAAGGTCTATGAAGAAGGTCATTTTTTATATGAAGATGAGCCATATGTTTAGGATGATTAGGATCCCAATAGTCACACATTGCATGTAAGAAAAAGACATTCGTTGAAAAGTATTTTCCGGTATCCAGGCAAATATGCATACCTAGGAATTTCATATCATACCAAGGGAAGATGGATGAGAATGACATATATTAGATTGAGATGAAAAGTATTTTCCGGAATCACTGGCAGCGACATTGCGTAAGTAAATTTGAGGCATCAAACAATAACAGGGAGAGACGTTGCATTAATATCTAGAGGTTCAACAAGATTTGTGCAAGGTGCTTGCAACATTAAATTACAGACCAACTGTTGCACTAATATTTTTAGGAAGGACTGGGCATGCGAGATCGGAATAACATTGATGCCCCGCTAGCCAGGGAGAATTGGCGGATAAAACCCCGAATGCTGCGTGGGAGTTTACTGTGAGGATGACAAAGAATTCACTAAAATTTGGAATCAGAGGAGTCGAATATTCAGAAGGTAATGATTCTCTTCGACAACAAATTTCTGAACTTACAAAATTTGTTCATCAATTGGTTGTAGGAAAGACGTGCCATGTGAAAGAGTGTGGCATTTGTACGAGCCCGGAGCATGCCACCGATGCATGTCCTGCCTTGCACGAGGAAAGACATGCCGATGTGAATGTAGCCAATTTTGGTCCACCGAGGCAACCGCAATATGACCCTTATTCAAACACCTACAATCCATAGTGGAAGGATCATCTGAATCTCAGGTATGAGACTTTGAAACATCAAGGGTTCTGACCGCAAGAACTCCCACAACAATTCTTCCAGCCATCACCGCCACCGCCACCTCCACCAAACCAATCTATCATGGGACTAGAGGAAATGATGAAGACCATGGCTGCCAAAATGATTCAATTCCAACAAGATACGAGAGCGAGCATTCAAAACCTTGAATCTCACATTGAGCAAATAGTGGCGGATCTTCGCCATGTCATGGAAAAGGAGACGGGGAAATGGTCATCACAACTGGAAAGGAACTCAAAGAATGTTAGCGCCATGACTTTACAAACTGGAAAGACTGTGGGAGCTCTAGAACCAATCATCCCAAAGGACAAAGACGAGAGCACCATCGAGAAGGAAATCTAGAAGGAAGATGCAAGGAAAAATGAGGTAATTGATGAAACAATCACTAAATTGAATACTAATCTTGCCAATTTTCCTTCCTGGATGGCAAAACCGAAAAATTCAAAAATAGAGAATAAAGTTTTGAAGATATTTTGAAAGGTCGAGTTGAATATACCATTGTTGGGCGCAATCCACCAAATTACTAAGTACGCGAAGTTCTTAAAAGAATTTTGCACAAACGTATAATTGATTGAATCTTGCACCACTAAAGAAAACTGAGATTATTATTGATTGAATCTTGAACCACTAATTGGTTGAATATGTACATTTGAAAGACGGTTAGATACTAATAGTGATCATTTCATTCACAATGATGAAAGCCAAGAGGAACAAGTTGAAGAGCGATGCAAAATATTACATGTGGAATGACTCATTCAAAGATGAAGAAGAAGTTTGTTTGAATGGCTCTTGAGGACCCTTCGTCCTTAATTTATAATAACTAATGTCTAACCAAAGACGTTAAAGAAAGACGCTATTGGGAGGCACCCGAATTTTTTATTTTTTCGTGTTTTCATTTCCTTTGATTTTTGTGTGTTTGGTTTGTTTAATTTGTAGATGATGGTGATCTCAGCATGGCCGAGACTACATTTTGAGTACTTAAGAATGACATTCCACAGGTGGCTTGACGTTAGGCATGCCCATTTCGGCCTTTCAACATACCAATGCCAGTTGAATTTATCAGAGTTTTTTAAGATCTTGCGCACCATCCGCCACCCCCCCCCCCCCCCGATAAGGGAAGTCCATTGTCCCTTTACATTTTTTATTTTTCGCAATGTCTTTTCATTGAGGACAATGTCCATAGTGGGTGCTGGGGGAAAATTTCTATTGTTTCCCCGATTGGATGACTAAGTTGTGTGCTAAAGACTTGTGTGTATTTGTTTTCAATATGACATGTTTTCATTAGATGAATTGCCGATGAAGTAGATGATAACTCTTGATTTTGCCATATTTTATAGCTTTTATTTATTTATTTAATTATTTGTTTATGTCGAATTTTGATATTTATAATTATTTTGGTGTATAAATTAAATTAATTGATGTGTTTCTTGAATTATATTTTTTTGGCATTATTTATGTGCTATTTAAGTATTCAATTTTAACTAAATCAATTTTATTTAATAAGTACTATTTATTTCAATAAATATTTATAAGATGTTCGTTATTTACATAGGTGAAATAATGATTGAAAACTGATATGGGAGCCCAAAACTGGCCTTAAAAAGTAAAAAAATGGCTTAAGAAGCGAAAAACAAGTCACCGGCGTGAAAGTCAACAAAAGTCAACGGTCAACGCTAGAAAGTTAACGCGCAAAAGTCAAAGTCAACCGAGCGCGGAAGACAAGCGACGGCTGACACGGAAGGCAAGCGATGGCTGCATAGGAGTGCGCAAGCGCGGAGGGCAAGCGAGCGCGGAAGGCGAGCGACGGCTGTATTTATGAGCACGGAAACTTTGACGTTGAAGTGAGCGAAGCGATGACAGCTGCACGGAAACAAGCGACGGCTGCACGGGAACTTGGCATTGAAGTGAGCAAAGCGATGGCGGCTGGCACGGAAGGCAAGCGGCGGCTGGCACGGAAATGTGAGCGGAGCGGAAGGCCATACGTGGAAGTGAGCGAAGCGGCGGCTGCATTAATTCTCGCTGTATTTATTGCCGCTGGTCAGCGGTGCATTTACTGCGCCGCCACAATAATTCCTGCACAGAATTCCGCTGCATTTATGTCTCCTGCACC